TTAGTGCAAGTCAAATAAAAACTGCTCCTCCCAGCAGCCCCCACCAACAAGAAAGAACAGCTGGCTGCTAAAGACCAGATGTCCACCTGGGCATTTGGGAGTCACTTTGGTCAAGGTTACCTGCAAGTAGCCCCCTTTGAAAGGGGTCCCAACTACAGCAGGGTCCCCAGCCCAGGCAACCTGAAGCAGCACGGCCCTGCTTGGCCAGCAGCGTCCTCCCAGTCTTTCGTAGTCCAGGTCTCAGTGAACTGGAGCCTGCTCCTGGGGTACAGCAGCACGTGGGTTCTGAAACCTAGGGGCACCAGACAGCAAAGCCACTTTGGAGAGCACCTCACAGGCTGGCCTTGGGCCCGGTGGAAATGAGCAGCTGACCACAGACTCGCCACATGTGATCTTGAGCCCTGAGCTCATCCTCACACGGGTCCTCACTGGTCCTAGTAAAGCAGGACACGTTCAGCACATCTCCGTAGCTGGAGGGAAATGCACCTGCAACCCAGAGGCCCACGGCCCCAGAGGTCAGCTGCGGCGGCTTTCTTGCTGTGGAGGGTTGGACACGGTCCTGGGTCTCCCTAAGCCCAGCGAGGCCCATGGCTTACATACATTCTTGTATGTAGGACGGCAGGGTTTGTTTTGTGGAGGGACCTGTGACATCCAAAGCTGATGGAGTCTGGGGTGGGTGCCACCTTGCAGCCAAGGCCCTGCAGGGTGCTCTGCCCAGGGGCCACGCTGGACGGACATGGTGGCTGCACAGGCCACGCCAGTGCGGCTCTGGTCACACTGAGACTCGTGGGCTGTTGCAGATGAATGTACCGTGTGGCCCAGCGACCCAGGGATCAACAGCTGGACACTCAGGAGTCTGTGAGGTGGGGACAGGGACTGTGGGAGCAGCCTGCAGGCCAGAAGGAAGACTGAGCCGTCATTTATGATGATCCAGGGGCAAAAGGAAAACCAAACACTTGAACCGGAATTTGAACGGAGCTCACAGCGGACCACACACTGAGCAAACTACCATTACTGTCCACAGGGCTGACCACGGGAACGGGACTAGGAAGTCCACTTCAGACGCAGGAGTGTGCCAGCTCACAAGGCCACACCCTGCAGCAGCCGGAAGGGCAGCACAGCACTGAGACTGCTGCCCCCAGCCCAGCCTGCCACGCAGCCAGCTGAGCCAGCCCCTACCAAGCCGCACGCAAAGCCCACCAGCCCTGCGGGTCACTGTGCAGACATGGATTCCCCGCCAGGACACACGCTGGAGATGGCACCACCAGCCAGCGCACCTTGGAAAGGCAGGACCCATGGGCTTTGGAGAGACACCTCTGCCACTTACGCGACTGCCCAGCAGGACTCCACTCACTGGGCCCCCACACTGACGGCACAGCCTGTCCAGTATGAGTGGCACAGGAGGGGCCCGTCTGGCCTTCACCTGGGCACCGGGGTGACAGTCACGGGATGGAAGGCCTGATCAGCCACTGGGCAGAGGCGGGGAGGAAGCACGGCCCTCCGCGTACCCCCCGCCCAGGATGCCGGACGCTGTGCCCGGAGGAGGCAGTGCGATGCACGCTGGGAGCACTCAGCCTGGGCAGAGGCGGAGCAGGGGGTGGGGCTGGGCTGTCTGCTGGTCCCAGTCTCAAGCTAACCGATGCTCTTTTCCTTCTTTCTTCCCACTCGAACGCAGGCCCAGGAGATCTGCGTCTGGCCAGTGCGGGGCCAGCAGTGGGCTTCCCAGTTCAGAGCAGGGCAATGGGAGCTCTGAGCACCTCCTGGCAGGGTCTCCTGGGAGCACTGCACTAGTGTCCCGTGACCACGTGGGACTCCTGACCCTTGATACGGCCAGGCAATATGGTAGGCTGCGTCCAGCCTGCCAGGGTGCGACTTCCTGTCCTAGACTGGGCCACCAGCGGTCAGGGCATAGGAGTGACAAGTTGAGCAATGGGTCTCCGTGGAAGCAGAGCTTGGGATGCAGCCAGCAGCCCAGGCAGCTGCACCTGAGACCCCTCGGCCCAGGGCGCTGGCAGGGCCCTGGCCAACCGCTGAGCTCCATGGGGCTGGGGGGCACATCCATCTCTCTCTCTTCTCCGGGATCCTCGGCCCCACCCGGGACTGAAGTGAACTCTCACACAGACCTACGTCCCCCAGACCTAGGCCCTATACTCCCATTTCAGTGGCCTGGCCAGCACATGGCCCAAGACCACGAGACTCACTGGATTCCAACCAGCTGGTGCTAGACAGCTGAGGGCTGTCTGAGGAGAAGGGGTGTTTACACTGCGCCCACACCTGTATCCAGGAGCTCTAACACAGAGGGATGGGAGAGGCCTGGGTAGAATGGCCGTGTGGGCGGGACGTGGCCCACTGTTCACCTGCAGGCCACCAGCCTGACTAGCTTCATTTATAGGCTTGGGCCAAGCCCTTGGGCTTCCTCCTGAAGACTGGCCATCCGGGGCTAGTTCTCCTAGGGATCCTATAAAGTGCGGTCACAACCCCCAAGGGAGACGGAGGCAGCCACAGCCACGGGCTGTCTGGAGCCTGCCGGACTCGACGCCCCCGCCACATTCTGGGCCAGCGCCAGTCCTGACAGGCGGGGTCTGCTCCTCGCAGTGGACACCAGGGAATTATCTCCCTGCGGGGTCACAGCACGGTAGTCAGGCTGCAGTGTTTGCTGCCCGGGATCACACGGTCTGCTCTGGGTCCCTCCCTGTCCCGAGGCTGGTGTGTTCTCTCCGTTCTGTTTCAGACCCTGAGGGCGAGAAGGAAGGCCTGCACCTGCTGCAGGAACGGGCGCATGCAGCCCACACCCTGCCTCAGCTCCTCACGCCGGCTTCAGAGCCGAGGTTCTGTCTCTTCTCGGGGACACGAGTCCTCCATCGGGCCTTGGGAGCACTGTCTGCAGGCCGGCTCCTGGCGTGGGCGCAGGGGCCCCTTGCTGCACTCTCCTAGCGTGAAGCTGGCTGGAGGCACAGCACCCGCTGGGGAAGCGCCGCTCAGGGACCTGCTGTGGCGATGGCCAGGCCTGCGCGCCCTGGGGAGTGCTAGGGAGGTGGCAGGGAGCCGCCAGAGACGAAAGGAACAACGAGAAGGAGAGGCTGAGGAAGGGGCGGGCAAAGCAGGAGCAGCAGGGTGCGCCTGGAGCCCACAAGAGGCTGCCACTCTCGGGGCACAGAGTGAGAGGAGCTCGGCCAGTGGAGACCTGAGAGGGCAGCACCCACCACGCAGGGCTGTCCAGCTCACCCGGAGAGCCAGCTCTGCACCCAAGGAGGCTGGGAGGGGCTGGAGGGCGGGGGTCATACCCTCGGTGTTCCATGGGAACAGGCCTGGAGGTGAAGCCAGCACCCACATGGTGCATCCTGCTGGACTGGAGAGCACACCCCACCAACACACACACACACAGGCCCTCCCTGTGCACCCGCCCCCACGCCCCCACCCACGCCCTCCCCAGGTGGGAGCTCACACACACACACACACACACACACACACACACGTCCTCCCTTTGTGCACCCGCCCACGCCCTCCCCATGTGCACGCTCACACGCACACATACACACACGCTCAAGCCCTCCCTGTGCACCTGCCCCCATGCACACACCCACGCCCGTGCAGGGAGGTCCCAGCTCCCAGAGCTCCTCTCAGGCCCTCCCTGACGTCGCAGTGACTCGACCATCTCTGCAGGCCGGGACACACCGGATCTCGGGTCAGGACCTTGGGGCCGCTGCTCCTCCTGCCACGTGTGTCTGGGAGCCCAAGCGGGGCCCTTCCCACACAGCCACTCAGCCTTCTGGCCAGGGTCACTCCAAGCAGCTGCTGCTGGGTGGGTGGGGGTGGGGCCTACCTGGCATCCCAGCCTTGAGGGAGGCTGAGGCAGGAGCATTGCAAGTTGGAGTCCTCCTAGGGCAACTGAGGGAGGCCCTGTCTCTAAATAAAAATAGAAACGGGACCAGGGACATGGGGACGTGACTCAGGGGTGAGCCGCCCTAAGTTCCATCCCCTGACCAGAGAGAGAGAGAGAGCACGCGAAGTAGGAGGGTGACAGAAACACAACTCCAGACCCCCAGGACTGTGCCTCGTCAAGGAACCGGACATGAGGTCTGCTGTGTCACCGCGAGGACTGGAGCGGCCCCAGTAAACGCTGCGGAGGGGTGGGGTGCAGTGCTTGCTCCTGGGTTCCCCACCTGGGTTGGGGTGACCTTCGTCCTACCACGGGCGGGGCGGGGGCAGCGGCGCCCGCTCCCCTCGCTCCGGGTCTAGGTAGAGTGGCAGCCTGGGCGGGGCCGGCGGGCAGGTGCGGAGTCTGCGGGCGGTGCGAACCGAGCGGGGGCGGGG